ATCTTCAGATTAAATTACACTATTACAATAATTGTAAATTTCTGAAGAATAAAAATTTTGAATTAATAACAAAGGACAATGCACTTATTTCAAACAATTTTAAATATTTAAGCAACTTTTTAAATATATTAGTGAAATTATTGAAAAAAATAATAAAGTTAATTAAAAAAATAAAATGTATAAGAATTATTATAAAATTAACACATAATACAGTAGAGTCCCAAAAGCTTGGCAATCGATAACCCAGCAGTCCAGATAACTCGGCCACACCCTGGCAGGGTGAAAAAACTCCTAGTTAATTTTCATTATAGACAGCTTTATGCCTCTTAAAGTATTTTTCTGAGATCTGTCTTATCAGGTAAATTACTGTACACTGTGTATTCATTAATTTTCATTTTCATGTAGTAAAGTACTGTACATACTTTTCCTTTGTTTAAGGGTATTTGGGCAGTTTATTCTCTGTTGTATTTTCAAGCAAACAATAATACAAGTACAGTACAGTATTTTCTGAGGAAATTCTTGTACTTATGAGATTCTCCTCAGATTCTTTTCCCTCATATTCTTTTTTAACCCCATTCCCGATAACCCGGCATTTTCACAAACTCAGCCACCCTTCGGTCCACATTAGGCCGAGTTTTTGGGACTCTACTGTACAAACAAATTATAAAAATGTATGATAGTCAAAAAAAAAAAATTAAATAATATTCTACTTCAATATTATAACAATAACTTGATAAAAGTGATAATTTGTTAAGTTTAGCTTATAGAACTGGGATATTTCTAAAAGGGTAGTTGTTGTATTCTTAACATTATGCAGGCTTATTAGTATGGTCAAGGAACACCTAGACAACTTAAATACAGTTATATTCTCTTTATCATGCCAAAAATTTATATACAATATGAGATTGTAATATAAGTGATCTCTGCAAATGTAGAGGTCAGTGTGTATATCATGACGAGGAACAAGCCAAAAGAAAAATAGTTCAAATTTTTTGTATCCCCTAATTTATAGCTCCCAGAAGTACACTGTCTAGTATCAAGAGGGGGCCCTATGTGCCACTGCAATTACTTGTGGTTGTTTTGATTCTTATAAGCTGAATTCATGTCAAATGTAGAACTTTCTCCTCTCTTATGATGTCAAAAACTTGATATTTTGACATCATAATTATGAGCGCTTTAGCAATTCTAACAAAGAATTTTTTTCTTTTTCATTAGTATTAATGTCATACAATTCCATCAAAACTCTGCTCTTGGTTTAGAATAAGTTCCCTGCTATGAAAAAAGAAGTGATCCTCTGTTCTCAGATCTATCATTAGATAATAAATCTGAGACTTCTAAAACTATAATTGAATTTTGTTCCTTGCTAATTTAATTTTTCAAAATATTCTATTTGTTGACTTTCATGTACATTCTGACATCTAAAACACAAAAACACACACAATCAGTAAATAAAACAATTCAGTTTAGCAATAAAGCATTTTATGTGTTGCAGTGAATGTTATGCACCTGTATTCTATAAAGCAGCAGTTGCCAACTGGTAAAGAAAATTTTGTTGATCCTTGGAAAAATTTAGACATTGATCAACTCAAGGTTATGCAAAGTATTATGAAAGAAATGCAAAATGCTTGGTTGTTTTTTTTCTCTCATTCAGGGGTTTTTATTTGAATGTAAAACAAAACATAAAATGACTGTTATCAATAAGTTATAATGTCAATAAATCAATAAATAATGTATGTAATTGTCGTCCTTCATGGAAAAGAGCCAAAAAACCCATAAACTTATTTCAAACAAGCAACAACAAACTTCACACTAATTTGTTATAATTAAACAAGTGAATTTCATATTAATAAAGTAAAATGGAACTTTTATGATCATTATTCTATAGATGTTTGTATTGTTTAAAAAAATTTATGACAGTAGTCTGCGGGATTCAAAATTACAAGTTTAGTGGGCCATGAGATCAAAAGGTTGATGACTGCTACTATAAAACATTTTGTAGAATTGTCTGCTTAATGGTTTAGAGCAGTGTTTTTCAACCTGTGGGTTGCGATCCCCAGGGAGGTTCGCAAAGCCTTACATGGGGGGTCGCAAGTAAAAGAAAAAGACAAGTGTTTGTAGGCCCTACACTACAATAAAAAAACTACAATCTCAGTAAGAAGGCTGTGCCTATTTATTTTACAGTACAATTGGTTTTTTGATCGATATTTAGGTCTCAACAGAAAGAAACTTAAATACGTAGTTTTTAAAATCACTGACATAGTTTTAATATGGCCCTGGGGGGTCGCCAGAATTTTTTAACTTTTAAAGGGGTCACTTATTCAAGAAGGTTGAAAAACACTGGTTTAGAGTAATTTTAATTTTAGGAAAAGGAAAAGTAGAACAAAACATTTTGAAAATAGATAGAATATTGAAATCTGTGGTGATTATTCAGAAGTGAAGATTTCCATTAGGATGTCCATTGAAGATGAGCTTGACTGGCTCAGAAGTACTTGGGTATTAATGAATGAATTGTTTTGCTCAGGTCAGTTCTCCAAGAAGTTTTTTTAGTGTAGTTTGAAGTTACTACTCATCAGTTAGATCTGCAGTGACTATTAAACAATGAAGAAGTCAAATGCAAAATTTGTCCACTGGATTATACGTCTTCTAAATTGTTCACTGTCTCACACTGTTCTGGAAAAGAAAACATGCGAAGGCATTGTCAAATATATTAGTGTTAGCACACATTTCAACTGAATAATTAGATAAGCATCAAGTATAAACAGATTTAAGTTTTCTCAAAAACAAGTATACACACAAAACAAAAAGAAGTATGGAAAGTGAACCAGACACATACAAGGAAAAACTGTTGAATGAGTTTCATGATAATATTAGTCATGTATCAGTTAAAAATGTGAAAACTCATCACTCAATATTTTTGGTGGCTGAGTGTAGTGTGAAAAATTAAGAAATGATGAAATATTTGTATGTTCCTGTTAAAAAAAACCAAATGATGAAGTATAGATGATAACCAAACTTGGGAAAGTATGTAATCCCAAAATCCAAGCTGATACCAGTAGTTAATAGAAATGGATACTGTAGTTATGGGATATGAAAAAATTAACATTTAAAGCAAATACATAGATTAATGTTGATCATTTAACAAAATATATAGTTTAGTAAAAAACATGGCACCAGCAATCATACAATATTTAGATAAGCTCTGAAAATCCCATTGATCAAGCAAATTTTAACTAATAATGGGAATAACATCATCTCCTCACAGTTTAATAAGTTTTTAAAAGATGAAAAAATTAGGCATACCTACATATCAACTTATCCACAATGTAAAGGGTTGTGTGAGAAAGTAAATGACAGAACAGTTTTGAAATTCAGGATAGCATTGCAGAAGAAACAAAAAGCCACTTGGACTAGTAAATTGTTAAAAGTTGTGAAAGACTGCAATAAAGTTAAAGAGTTTTCTCTTCTGTTTTTTATTATATTGTGATGCTTCATTACTAAAGTTTTTAAAACTTTATATTCCTATGCTACAGTTATGCTATCCTATACAAGCCAAAACATTTTACAGAGAAAGAAGAATAATAGTATCACAAAACATGGGAAAAGGGAAAAACAATACCACACTAAGTATCTTTCAGATGAATACATGCTGGCCATTATAAAGAACAGATGTTAAGATGACCTTATCATAAATAATTTATCATAATTTAGCATAAATCATTTATTTCATCGGTGAAACTATTGGTCATGACAGAAAATAGGTGTAATATTCAGGAATGAATAAAACACAAAGCAATTGGATATGAAATGAAGGAATAACACTGCCTCAAAAACTTTTTTAGACATTTTAACCTCAGCAAGTCAAAAGCCAAGATGTCAAGAATTCTTAACCACAGTATGGAAAAGATTTATTAAATTAATGTGATTTTTTTTAAATGCCCTTCACTGAATAGAAAGCATTCAAAAAACTTTCTATAGTAGTTTGTAACTTCTTAGAAGACATATTTTTAAAATTATCTATGAATCAAGTTAACGTTTAAGATAGATTTTTACATGTTATCTAGGTTATCGCTGTAGTAATACTCAATCTAATCTGTCCAACAATATCAGAAGCCGTAATGATGCCATTACTTCAATGTTCTCGACTGATACAAAAAATGTCATCGTGCTTGGACTGTAGCATCTTGTAACAGTAGTTCTTACGACGAATGTCCACATCCTTCCCATTTCCAATGATGCATTGTTGTTAGTTTCGATGTTCCGTATCATTAGTATGCTCTGCATGTGACTTCAACTTAATTTATTGCTGACAGTTGCATGCATAAATACTCGTAATGTTAAATTTTCCGGTAAGAAGAAGAAATTTCTTTTTTTTGTGCCTTTAATTTGGTATTTTCTTAAATGGTTTTATCAATTTTTAAGTCGAAGCGATAAAGNTTATAATAATAATAAAAGGATTAAATTATCTTAAAGTGTTAATATTTTTATAACTAATCACAATTTATAGCTTATTATTATTGCATGTTTATGTGCCAGTAAGTTTTATGTAAAGAAAATCTAAACAGTTTGCTTATGATTACAATCAAGAAAACTCAACTTTAATCTTTAAAATATTAATCATTTGGGTTAAGTTCTGTAACTAGATAAACATATTTTAATTTATTTCTTTTTTGTTTCAATTTATAATTTATATAGCATAGTTCTTTAATCTTAAATTTCAATTAATTCTGTATTTGTGTTTCATTTTATTTTTATTTTTTGCTTATTGCTGAGGTAAAAATCTACAGTTCAGGCTGTATTTCTTGAAAATAGCATTTTTTTAAATCTGAATACTCTTGTAGACAATTTATAAAATGTATGATTTGGAATCTTTTGTAACAATTTAATTATAATCTTTATGGAATCTCTGAAAATAAGTATGTGGGCTTAAGACTATAAAATGTACATTTTTATCATAGCATTGTTATTGCATTTTCTGAAAAAAGTTTAAAATATTACATTACCTTTATTTTGTCTACTGTATCATCTATATTTTCTACACAACATTTTAATTTTTCACATTTTGGGTTTAAATCTTCTAACAGTTTCATTAACTGAAAAAAATTCATTTGAAATTATCTATTAATTTTCTCTGTTGAACAATTTGAAAATACAGTAGAACTCTGATTATCTGAATTGATTCATTCTGCAGGTGATTTGGATACTCAAAAATTTGGATTAGTGGATTAACATGTAAAGAATGAAATTACAGAATAACAGCACAGTATTGTATATGCAATGATGCAGCCAGGAGGGCCAAGCAGCCCAGCCCTCTCCAGGGAAACAAAAGGAAAACATACACTAGAAAATTTTCCAAAAATCTTTCCCTAATTAAAATTCATTTTTTTTATTTATATTCTGTGGTGTCTTCTATTTCTATACTACTTATAAATTAGCAGTCACGCAAGTGAAAATTTTATTGAATTTGCATTAAAAAATTTTTATCCATTCAATTCAGCTCCCCAAGAGTAAATCCTAAGTGTATACATATTTATTTATTCATCAATGTGTGAGTAGTATCCTACTAATCATTTGGATCTGTCACCATAAATAGGAATCACTGATCATGCAGTCACACAACATAAGAGAACTGCAGTATGATGTCAGTGAGACAGAGAAAGGAAGATAAGTGGTAGTTTAGATAATTGGAGTTCTACTGTATTTAATCTGTATATTTATAAATTTACATTTAACAAGAAATTAAATAAATTATTTATTCTTAAAAAATAATTTCATTTTAAAAATAACTATAACCATTAAAACAGTGGCTATGTTATAATCAAATCTAGTCATCTGAATATAAGATTATAACAAAACTGTTTAATCTATTTAAACATAGATGAATTATGCCAAAAAAAATTTATATATTTATATTAATATATATTTTCTAATTAAATATTCATATTATAATCTTAAAATATTCATATTATAATGTTTCCATTTAGCATCAATTATATTCAACAATAAATCAGAGCTATCTTGCAAATGTTAATAAATTCACACAAAATAACCTTGGAAACAGTAGCCCACCAGTGACCAAGCAGTTCCATTCCCTGAACACTGGGAGTTTAATCGAAGGTTTGCACCTCGCTCGGATGAGCACGGCATGTCTGTAATGCCTGAATGGGGCCAGTTATGCTTAAAAAGACCTCATGGAAAGCATCCCCCTAGGCAGATCACCCAAAAGTTCCATTGCCATAACTTAACTAAACAAACAAATTGGAAACAGCAAAAAATTTACTAACTATAACGTTTTCAGGTGTTTTTAACGTCCTTCTTCCTGTATAATACTAAATGGAATGTCAATTCAAATTTAATATCTGAACATTAAATTAATTAAGACATCGCAATTTCAACTTAAGTTTGAAAATATTCAAAAATACAAAGATCATCACATGTAAATAAAATAAACAAATATATAAAAACTAAATTGATAAATACAAAAAAACATTAAACTTAAATAAATACAAAATATCTTTAAAAAATGAGTTCTCATCTGTTAAATGATGTAAATATCAATAGTTCCTTCTGTAGCTATCATGAGGCTTTACATTATTTGTGTATACAGCGCACAAAGAAAAACCTCCACACTGCCAACAGAGAGTTGATAGAACATCTTTATAATTGATAGAACATCCCTTATATGTTGCTCTATAAATATGTAAAGCTTCCATATAGCTAATGTGTTGGTGGTTCCCAATTTAATGGATGATTCAGGCTTGGTCCCGTTTAATACTCATGGAACTCATTGATTAGAAATGGCATACACTGCTAAGGTGGTATTAGGGTTGGATTTTCTAGCATCGTCCTTGTGTTCTTTTAAGCATTGTTGGATGGATCTCAGAGTTGCCCCAATGTAGTAGAGATTGTATGCAAGTCTGCTGTCTTTTACGGGTATGTTGAAAACACCAGAGACCAGTGCCTTGTCCAGGGATCCTTATTGTTTCCTATAATTATAATAACCTATAAACTGTAGGGTTTCTTCTGTACGTGATGCTGCAACCAATGGAGTTGCCTATCTCCCTAAAGATGTTCCGTAGGAGAATGGCATAGTCCACAATAAGGCATTCAGCTTATGAAGAATTCCTGGAATGTCCTTCCATTTTATGTTAGAATGAATCAATGAAAGTTTTATTTGTCCTATGTTTGTAATCAATGGAAATGCGGAACAAATGGAGCGAGCTTTGAGTGTTCCACGATTTTTGGAGACTGTCCGTACGCGGGCTTCCTAAACAAGCCTATATGTATGTTTGTCCAAAAAATTTTTGGATGAAATACAAACCGCACAACTTCAAAATCTCATAAAAATAATCCGCATAAAAAGAGACCTTACAGTATTAGTATAGTATATTAGTATATCCCATGTAATTAGTATATTAGTATATCATTAACCTACTTCGCGTTAAATTTTAATCGATGTTAAGCCTAACAAAATTTTTTTGAATAATAATCGTTGCTATTGTATCGTTAAAAATTATTTTTAAATTATTTTATTGTTCACAAAGCAAACAACCACTCATAATTAGAAAATTAAGTCTCGTTTAAATACTGGCCTCCCTTTCATGGTCGAGCCAGTGTTGCCAGCTAAAACATGCAAAAATTTAACAAAAATAATATTAAAGTAGCCAAGACATAGCCAAATATTGTAGTGCCGCATCACTAGTGGAAATTTGAAATTTGCAGACTAGAACAATCAGTTAACTGATGAGACGGTTAATTGGGGGTCGGATAATCGATGCTCTACTGTATTCTGCACTTTTGGATTCAAGACTCATCATAACCAAGCCTTACCCTCTTGAGAACATCCAAGCAATTGTCAAACATTACAGATCAAGGTGTTTATCAACCTATGTACTGTACATAGTTATTAACACTCTCTTGTAAAGGCATGCATAAAGGTTTAGACTCTTCCTCTATTTCAATTTTTCGTTGTAATTTTTTGTCTTTTGAAAAATAAATATTCATTATTTAATGGTTAAAGCATTGTAGAGTGCATTATTTCTGGTGCTCTGTCTCTCAACTCCCTCCTCCATCCTAAGACCATCCATTCCCTCATGCACAATTACTTGTGTAATAATTATTCAGAAGGTTCCTGTGCAACTTAAGTAGTAGGTCAGTCCTGACTTGGGCATTGCTGACATAATGAAAAATAAAATACAAATGTTGCCTATTGTTATTAATTTATTTTCCTCAAGTGAAATATAAAATAAATTAAAATGGTTACCAAGCAAACAGCCCACCATTACTAAGAATAAGGATGATAAAAAACAAAGTTTGTATGGAGTTTAACTATAACTTATATGTGATATACAGATAATCCCCGTATAACACGAGAGTTATATTCCAAAAAATTGCCGTGTTATGTGAATCCGTGTTATACGAACAAAGAACTAGTACGAAAAGGAGGGTTAGGTTCCAAAAATTAAAAAACATGCTATTATATTTTCATAATTAAGATAAATATCTTTATTAAAATTTTCTTATGTGATACATATTAATATAAATTAAACAATGTTNGAAAAGGAGGGTTAGGTTCCAAAAATTAAAAAACATGCTATTATATTTTCATAATTAAGATAAATATCTTTATTAAAATTTTCTTATGTGATACATATTAATATAAATTAAACAATGTTTCCTTTGTCATCACTAAAAGCACTATTAACTGAGAGCGTTTTCTTTTTGGCAAGTTATCCTTATCCTCTGAGCATTTTTCTGCATTATCTTCAGATCCATGCTTTACCTTTTGCAAAAAGTATATGTAATTTTAGATTGCTTGCTTCTAATTAAAAGATCTTTATAAATTTCCTTATATAATACTAAACACTTATGAAGAATAAAGCAAGTATGGAAAAAGGGAAAAACGTCTGTCAACATCAGAAGCAGAAGTGTCGAGATCTGGCAACATTGAAACAAGTTTCAAGAAAGATCATGTGTATTGACAGAAGGCGAGAAAAGAAAACTTACATACTCAAGTACTAATAGTATTTAACTATTAGTACTTAAGTATGTAAAAATTTATTACATTTTACGTTGTACGAGTATTTTACCTAATTCTTGAACTGTGTCAGAGTGAATCCATGCTATAACAGTACTGTGTTATACAAGGATGGCCCCAATTCTCGAACCATGTTAGAGTGAATCCGTGCTATAGAAGTGCCATGTTATATGGGGATTACCTGTATTTGTAAATGTAAAATTTAACTTTTCTAATTGCAATATTTTTGATAAATGATGTAGATATTAAGATTTGACTATGTAATGCAAGGCAATTCCCCTCAAATCAGTACAACCCTACTGGCAATGCTACTTTGCATTTGTGACATTAATTATCATAAACAATTACTTTTCAAACAATGGCTAATAAATATTATCTAAAAAATAAATTTTTAATCTATATGTACAATCAAGATTAGTTAATAATAATAATAATCTCAGGGTTAGTAACACTTCCATACAAACAAACCAAATATTCATTAGGCAAAAAATTTTTCAAAAAGATTCCTTAAGTCCTCTCTGGTTCTGCCTAGCCCTGAACCCATTATCCAACATGTTAAACAACACACAGTATGGCTACAATATCAGACATGAAAAAACAGCATAGTTTATGCTGTCACATCTCATGTACATGGATGACATAAAACTTTATGCATCCACACAGAAACAACTTCATCAACTCCTACAAATCACACATCATGAATGTGTGATTTGTAGGAGTTGATGAAGTTCTTTCTGGACATACAAATGGTGTTTGGCTTAGACATACAAATGGTGTTTGGCTTAGACAAATGCAAAAAACTTCACATAGAAAAAGGAATCCTGAAGAAAGAAGATTTTGCACTTGGAAATAGAGACGTTATTGAATCCATGGAAGAGGGTGAGTTCTACAAGTATTTAGGATTCCAACAGGCCGAACTAACAGAACATACACAAATAAAGCAACGATTAATTAAAGAATACCAAAGTAGGTTAAATGCCATTCCCAAAACACAGCTAAATGCAAAACACACAGTTAAAGCAATAAACACATATGTCGTCCCAGTACTCACATACTCTTTTGGAGTTATACATTGGACTCATACAGATCTTGAGCAACTCCAAAAAAAAACAACAACAACACTTACTAAGCATAAACAACATCATCCTAAATCTGCCACAGAAACCGTACGTTTCTATATTCAACGGTTGACTCAACAGTGAATTTTCCGTTGAGTCCCTCCGTTGAACGATCTGACGTCACATTCTGTAGAAAAAAGAAACGCTTTCGTTGAGAGTAGTGTTGAGAGGTCGCTTTTCAAGATGGCAGACTTAACTAACGAGAAGGTGGCGATTATGACTGTTTTATTAAATAGTATTTCTGAGAGTAGAGGGGGTTACGAGATGTTTTTTAAATCTAAAAAAGATAATGAAGATATTCCATTTCTGTATGCTGCTGCAGTGGAAAAATCGAAAAAAGCCAAAATAGAAGGCTATGTCGAAAATATCGTTCCCAGATACAACGACATGGACTTTAAGTCTCATTTTCGTCTTTCTAGAAGCACTGTCGAAGTAAGTCTCTGCTAAGAATTGTTAGCTGTAGTAACTATCTACAGAAAAATTGCTTTATTCGGCTTTTTTAGCTTTTTATTAATGTTTAAAAATAAATAATTGTGTTATACTATAATATGATATTTTATTTTAGAGGTTAATGGAACAGCTTCCTGAACAAAGGACTGGCCCTGGTCGAACAGGACTAAGAGAAACATCACTACAAACAGTTGTATTGATGTCTCTATGGTTGTTAGGCAATCAGGAGTCGTTTCGTGGCGTTGCGGACAGATTTGGAATAAGCAGAGGACATGCCTATAGAGAATTTGTATATTTTATTAAAACCGTGTCTTCGTTAAGATCTAAAATTATTGTTTGGCCCAAAGGTGAAAAAGCTAAAAGCACCATAAGGAACTTTGAGACCTTACGAGATATAAGCTTTCCAGATGTAATTGGATGTATAGATGGAGCCCATATATCGATATCAGCCCCAAAAGCATCAAAAAATGCATATTTTAATAGAAAGCAGTATACATCTGTAATTCTTCAAGCAGTATGTGATTCTAAATTATTGTTTACAGATGTGTTTGCAGGGTGGCCAGGATCTTCACACGATTGCAGAGTTTGGAGCAACTCACCACTATGTGAAGCCCTAGAAAAAAACCCTATGATTCCAGAAGGGGCCCATCTCCTTGGAGATGGAGCTTATCCACTTTCTTCAAGTATGATGATACCCTATAAAGACAATGGTCATTTGACAAGGAAAGAGAAACTTTTTAATCAAATTTTAAGTTCGAGTAGGGTCGTCATTGAACAAGCATTTGGACAATTATTTGGGCGATTTAGAAGACTAAACCATTTGTTTATGTTTAGAGTTGATCGAATCCCCCAAGTTATTGTAACAGCGTGTATTCTGCATAATTTATGTATTTTAGAGAATGATGAATATTTAGATGTGTTTGATAATGTTTCTGCATCATCTTGGAATACAACTGTCCCTGTAAATTTTTCTCAAAGAACAGAAGTGAATAGAGTTGATGGAGTAAAAAAAAGAGAACACATTGCTAATAGATTATTTTTACTGGCAAATTGTTAATGTAATTTAACAAACAAATTTCTCTTATTAAAATTGTTATATATAATTAACATGTAGATTTCTGTAATGTAATGTAATAAAACTTACTCTTATATAATGAGAGTAAAAGTAATGAAATTGTAATTTTTGTCTACTTGCCCAAGTTTGTCAAACAGATAAACACTACATTAATAAAATATTTATTAGTATTCATAATTGGTAACTTCTTATGAATTGTGATTTACAAACATTACAATATAAATGTTTTAGATTGTATTAAGCATAGTTGATATAGAATAAATGTTTATCTCTATACTATTGAAATTATTGAATCTACAGAAAAGTGTTTTATTAAAAGATACTGTCCATGAGCCTTTGCAATGTTAGTAAAACACACTTCATCTTATATTTAATGCACAAACTTAAAAATATTAAAGAATACACCAAAATTATAGGTATAAACAATATATATATTTATTTTGTATAAAAATATGTAAATAAAATCATTTCGGTTATTTTTTCAACATTTCTAATAATTGCTTCATAACTTTAAGTTTTTCTTCTTCCATCTTTTGAAATTCTCTCCAACGTCTTTCTTCTCTTTCTTCTTTTTCTTTATCTTCTTTTTTCTTATTTTCAACATAGTTCTGAAACCATGCTGGAGGTTCTTCTTTCGATAGTTTTGGTTTTTTTGAATATGGAGTATCACTTTGGTGAGGGATTGGAGAGGATGAGGAAGAATTGTGACTAGTAGTTGCGGTAGAGTTTTCGGAAGAATTGTGACTAGTAGTTGCGGTAGAGTTTTCGGAAGAATTCGATGTGTCAATGGGTGAAGGTTGGGAGTAGATAGGGCTAGGAAGAGAAGATAACAGTGTTTCTGCAGGAGGTGATATGTTGGTTTTGTAACCGTATTTTTCATCTAATACTTGAAAATACGGCCAGGTGATGCAACCTTCGCCACTCTTTCTAGCCCTGTCTTTGTTTTTCCTATATGTTGCTATTAAATTCCTCCATTTCATATCACAGTCTTCAGCAGTTAAATTATACCCTTGTGACACCAATTTACTGTGTATTTTCATCCATAATTTTTTTTTGTTTCCTGGCTTTCCAAATTGCTCCTCAAGTGCCAGTCTTTCTGAAATGAGTAACTTAATAATGGCATCTGTCCATACATCTGTAAAATTGGAAATAAAAAAATGTCAAGAATAGCTAAACTAAAATTATTTTTGATTTTATGACATGTTCATTTGCTGGAAGACAGATGCTAAATTATATGCTTACCTCTTTTCTTTGTTGAATAATTTTGGTCTTTTCCTGTTAATGTAATACAAAAATTAATAACTAAAGTAATTCAAGTAAGTTTAATTATTATGCCTTTTTGTCCTTTTTTTATAACTCAATTTAAAATTTTATTTTGTATTACTAGTACATTCTATATATTAACAGGACTTATTATACTGGAATTATGTTCTTTATTTAGTTCACCTGTGAACTAAATAAAGAACATTATTTTTGTGAACTAAATAAAGAACATTATTTTTGAACTGTAAGACTAAATATCTGCATCCATAATTCCAGTATAATAAGTCCTGTTAATATATAGAATGTACTAGTAATACAAAATAAAATTTTAAATTGAGTTAATTCAAGTATTATTCGAAAAAAAATTTTTACCTGTATCATTTTCTATATTAGATTTATCTTCAATAAGTTTGATATCTTCAATATTTAAGTCATTAGGCAAACCTAATGACGGCCAAATATCTGTTCCAATTAAATTTTTAAAGAATTCATTGAGATAGTTGGCCTCTGAAAAAGAAAGCTTAGTATTTCAATACTGACCAAATTATACAATATAATCCTACAATCACGTTTTATTATATATTTACCTTTCAATAATCTGTCCGCTATTACATCGTCCACAGCAAGAGTGAATCGACAATTTTTATATAAAAAGTTTACTTGCTTCATGGAAGCCGCCATATTACTTCGTTGTCTACTCAACAGCGTCTAAGGTCGTTGAGTCCGTTGAGCTCAACGATGAAACAGCGCTGACGTCACTAATCTCAACGGACAACTCAACGGTCCATTTAGAAACGTCGTTTTCTCACCGTTGAGTCAACCGTTGAATATAGAAACGTACGGAAAGATTAACCCTTCCATGTAAAGATGGTGGACGTGGCCTGATTGACATAGTTAACCTTCACTATAAACAAATACAGTCACTGAGAGAGTTTTTCTACAGGAAACAAGAAACATCACAATTACATAAAGCAGTAACTCTAGCAGACTCAAATAGCACACCATTAAACTTATACTCACATCATACAGACATGACACAACATATAAAAAGCACAGACACCATTAAGCAATTGTGGGCTCGAAAGGCAATCCATGGCAGGCATCCTTACGACCTGGCCCAGGATTTTGTTGACAAAACTGCGTCAAACAGCTGGTTAGATTGGGGATGCCTCTTTGGGGAGACAGAAGGATTCATGATTGCCATAAAAGATCAGGTCATAAGTACTAAAAACTACAGAAAACACATACTCAAAGATATAACACTTACAAATGACACATGCAGAAAATGTCACATCATGCCAGAAACTATACAACACATCACTTCTGGGTGCAAGCTCTTGGCACAGACAGATTATTTACACAGACATAATCAAGTAGCAAATATAATACACCAAGAGCTTGCAAAGAAACACAACTTGGTAGACATTCACAAACCATACTACAAGTATATTCCACAGACAGTATTGGAAAACTACATGCACAAAATGTACTATGACAGAGAACACAACAGACCAGACATCACACTCATTGACAAACACAATAAAATCGCATACATTATAGACATAGCCATTCCAAACACTCAGTGTACAAAACACATGCACTGAAAAAATTAGCAAGTACACAGAACTCACTCAAGAAATAAGGCATCTGTGGAGAATGGATAGGGTATTATTGTATCTGTTGTTCTCTCCTGTACAGGTGTGATACCACACACACTACACAAAAGCCTGGGAACATTACAATTGAATAGTAATACATACATCACACTGCAGAAGGCCACTATATTGAATACATGCCACATTGTTAGGAAATTCCTGAATACAGACACTGACACACTTATTTAATTTTTGTTTTTGGTTGCTATGCCTTGACTCTGGTCCGGCATAGTATACAGCCACTAGTGTGAACCGAGTATAAGCCACTAAACCCAACATAATAATAATAATAATAATTAGATATGTTATATAAATAGTAATGTAATAATAATTTATATACTTTAGTATCTAAATTATATATACTTTAGATGCTATAATAATTTAGGTTATTTTTTCTGTCATTATATTTTCTGTAATACAATTCAATATACAATTCAATAATAAATACAATTCAATAATAATAATAATTACATATGTTATATAAATAGTAATGTAATAATAATTTATATACTTTAGTATCTAAATTATATATACTTTAGATGCTATAATAATTTAGGTTATTTTTTCTGTCATTATATTTTCTGTAATACAATTCAATATACAATTCAATAATAAATACAATTCAATAATAATAATAATTACATATGTTATATAAATAGTAATGTAATAATAATTTATATACTTTAGTATCTAAATTATATATACTTTAGATGCTATAATAATTTAGGTTATTTTTTCTGTCATTATATTTTNGGTACACACTCGGTAAGTAATCCTATAATTTTTTGTTTATAGCATAGTTTATACGGATTACTCCCAAAAAATTATACGTATTTTGGAAATGTTGAGTCGAATTAGTCTAGAATCGGTTAATTTTATAGAAGAAAACCTTTCGAACAGCCTTAGTCCGTAAAGTTCCCACCTATCAGGCTGCAATTGGCTCATGTATTTAATCGTTCCTACAACGTAATTTTTGGTTAGCATGGAACGTATCTAAGCGTTATAGGGGGGTCTACTGTACTGTCATTACTAATTTGTCATTACAAATTTTATTCCATCATACATTTTTGGCAAAAGGCCTTATTAAATTATAAAATTCATAAATACAAAATATAATATAATATGATATACATAAAAAAATTATAAACTTAATACCTCAGGATCAATCCAATAATTATAATTATCTAAAACTTTAAAATTGTCTCTCAAAGGATCAAATTGTTGTTTTACATTATCCAATGCTTCTTTCAGTTTTTTCTGATTAGCAAAGTGTTGAAGTTCACCTATAGTTTGTGGATATTTTTCCAAACTAAAAATAAAAAAAAAACAATTAACAAAATTAACTTTATTTGGAAGATTTAGCAGTATAATTCAAATTATAATAATCATAATAAATGACAATTATAAATGCAGAAATAGTAACAATAAGCTGAATAATCATTTCAGTTTATTGTTAGTTATTATTGAATTGTATTTATCACTGTAAAATTATCTAAATATATAAAATTGCTTGTCCTGACTGACTGACTGAATGACTAATTCATCATCGCCCAGAGCAAACCTCTGAACCTAAAGAGGTGAAATTTGGTACACAGTTAGGGTACGTCATGAAAATGCACACTAAGAAGGGATTTTTCGAAATTCCCCCACGGGGGAGAAAAAGAGGATTAAGGCTTAACCAGAAGAACGGCTTCTACTGTACTATTTTAGATGCAATTTTTCGTTTTCAACTACGTTTAGTCTTCATTGAATACTTAGGTGTATTAAATTGGTAACATTTCAGACATAGTTATAAATATTTTTATCTATTTCAATTTTTAAAATGTTTGAACTGTTTTAAATTTGAATTTGTTATTGCATATTGGTTCGATTATAGAATGATTGTAAACATTCCAGAAAATTGATCAAAATAAAAACAGTTTGTTTGATTCTTGGCAATTCTCATCATTCTCAGTGATAGGTGTTATATAATAATTATTATGGTTGTTGAAATACTGAATATAAATTGGGTTTGCTTGCAAAATCCTCGCATTCAAAGCCGCGGGTAGCAGATAGTTATTAATATTTTCATAACATAATGTGGAAAAATTATCTAATGGAAATTCAGATTCAATGAAATTTTAAAGTAGAAGTGTTAAATAAAATTTTGATATTTCTTATTCATTTAATTTCAAGTGAAAATTTTATATGTAAATATCGTATGCTTTAAAAATACTTTGTATAGAATACAAAAAAATTTGTTTTTCTATTAGAATAAATAATCAATGTTATAATTTTATGTATATTAAAAATTTTACTTTTTTGATACTATTTATATATATGTTACAGTCAAAACCCGTTTTTAGTTGGAACGCGTTTTAACTAGTTGAAACTAGTTTATACTGAATGTCTTTGTTAAAACTCGTTTTGTCTAGTTGAAACTAGTTTATACCTAATGTCTTTGTTAAAACCCGTTTTGTCTAGTTAAAACTAGTTTTAACTCAAATTCATTTTTGACTAGCAGTAAATTCTAGTTTTAACCAGACAAAACCGGTTTTGTCTAGTTAATTTACTGCTGTACATGTTTTGACTTTAGATAAAACTAGTTTTAACTTTTAACATTAGTTAAAACTAATTTTAGCTACATAAATATGTTTGGGGGAAATAAAGTTATGTATAGTGATTCGGCGGAAGATGCCTAACATTTTGCTTATGAAGAAAATTACAGCGCTAATTTGAGTTTAGGAGCCCTCTAATGAAAATATCATATTCTGGAGTATGTCTTTCAAATAAAAGTTTGGAGTTTATTTTAAAAAATTCTATACTGTGTTTGCAATGACGACTTTTTCACTGTCTGGCATTTTAAGCATCTCACCCCAAGTATCTGGGTGAGATGCCAAATGCCATTAGGGTAAGATAACAAATATAATTGCTTAAAATTAATTTTTGAATTTCTTAACCAAATTTAATTTATTGCATATGTAGTACAAAGTACTTCATAGTAAGTATAACAGCACAGTATAAGTATTGTTAAGTTTCCGCCCGTTCTAACGTGTTCTATAGCTAGCTGAAAGCTTTTTTCAGTCCAAAAACTTTTTTGAGAAGTCCTTATATAATTTCTATGCATATCCTGCAATAAAACGAGAAAACAAAAGTTTATTAAAAATAGGCATATTGGAAATCAATTAACAAAAAATAGGCACGTTACCCCAAGAAAAATGTGGCATATTTTCCATTTGTTGGGGTAAGATGCCTAGTAGAGTCACGTGCTCCAGCATGTCCGATCGGGATCGGCGGTAGCTGACAATGGAAACTTTAGAACCTTAACTACATCACACATTAATTGTTTTTAGCAATTTTTAATAAATTCCATTTTAACTTTTAGTTTAAAATTATTCTAGAAACATTTCACAACAAAAACTTCGTTCTTATCTAGCTTTTATTCTTCTCGGATGTAGAAAATGAAGTAACGGTAGCCAACTACAGCTTTCCGCACTCAATATTGGCCCAACGATTCATCATACAAATACATGACAATATGTGATGTCACCGTTTGAAAATATCAAAAATTAGGCATCTTCCCCCAAATCATTCTATGCATTGCAGTCAAACCAGTTTTTAGTTAGGATGCGTTTTAACTAGTTAAAACTAGTTTATACTGGATGTGTTTGTTAAAACTCGTTTTGTCTAGTTAAAACTAGAATTTACTGCTAGTCAAAAATTAATTTGAGTTAAAACTAGTTTTAACTAGACAAAACGGGTTTTAACAAAGACATTCAGTATAAACTAGTTTCAACTAGTTAAAACGCATTCTAACTAAAAATGGGTTTTGACTGTACCATATATAAATAGTAATAAAAACATAAAATTTTGAATGATAAAACTTAAATAAAATTGAAACTTAAAACTTAAATTCAACTTTATATTTATATTGTAAATAATATTTAAATTTTAAATTACTATTGTTTGTTCTATATTACTGTTGTTAAGCTATTTTTTGATTATGTTGCTTGGATAATTACCCAAACAAGATAAATGAAAAGTGGCTTAATAGCAGTAATATATAGCAATATCAACTTGGTTGAGGAATATACAGTGCAGTGAAGTTTTTGAAGTGATTAATGTCCTTTCATTTTTCCTTTTTTGAATCAACATTTTAAAACATTTATATTTATTTTTAGTTCTTTTAAATTTTTTATTTTTTATTTTTAATTTAAATAAAAATTTTATCATAGCCTTATGTTAACTTAATTTTAATTTTATTTAGCAGCTTATGTATACAAAGTTGTTTCATCCAGTAGTCACTAAACATAATTTTAAATAAACAGTCAAAGATCTGTAATAAAGGACTGAAGGCAGGCAGGAGGCCCAAAATGCATTTCCTTGTACAATAAAGTTGGAATAGTCAATTATTGGTGTATTCCTTTAGTGATAAGCAAAATTTATGCTTATCACTAAAGGATTTAACAGAAGATAGACATGCTTACTTTAGGAGTTACAGGTTGTTAAAGTATAAATTCAATTGTATAAAATTAATTTTTACCTTCAAATTATGGAAAAGTTATACTGGCTGAAAAATAAGACTAACACAACTGAATTCACAGGAAAAAGTGATCCTGTCACCAAATTTGAAAATAAATACTTGCTTCAATGACACACAATAGGAGGATAAAGCTGATTATTATAAAGTGTACATGAAGAAGAATGGAGTAATCATATCAAGATCTCTATTTTAGAAACTATATAACTACTCAAATCTAATATTTTGCATCTAATATTAACTTAATTTAAGACCAAAAGCAATCTTGTTATGAAATTTGAACAAAACTAGAGGTAGTCAAGTATGGAGAAACCTACACACTTGATCATCTCCAATTTTGTTCAATTGCACAGTTGGCATGGAATGACTTATAACATTACATTGTTCCAGGCTTGTTTAAGTTTGTATAAAACTAGTGAATTATCTAATAATTATACTATACTAGCATCCCCTGTAGCAGCCTCGCCCACTCTTATATACACGTAGAACTTCGAAAATGTGAACTAATTGTTCATTAATTATTTGTGGATAATCCACATTGTATGTGCAAACCCGTTGTAATTTTGAAATGCCAAATAAGATTATTATCATCTTGCATGATTTTCTGCAATCTTTCAATGAGTTCCCTTTTCAAAGTTGGGTTTATATTTGATCGGGCTAATATCTGGTCAGATTCAGACATAAAATAGATCTGTAAAAATTTAGCAGTGTCTTCTGGATTAGGAAATAAACTGTCAATCAAATGATAAATTTGACCCTGGATTTTAAATGTAGGCATAAAATTCCCTTGTCTTATTTCTTTGGCTCCAAATGATGTCATTTGAAATAGAGTGTTGTACTGTCTACAATTGTCTAAGAAATGTATAGAAAGAGGATCTGTTCCTAAAATTAAATTTTTAATGAAATCAGGAGGTTTTTCAAGTTGTTCAAGAACAATTTTCTCCACAGCACAGCAAAGTCTAGGAGTTTCATCATACCATTTTCTGGCAAAACAATGATCACATATTTTGATCATTTTTACCTCTTTCATATCCAAATAGTCATTTTCAGGATGATAATCAAAAGCTGATTTGAAACCTAAAAAATTCCTCAATGTACACATTTGATTCTGAGCTAAATAAATTCATTGCTCTTCCAGTCTTTGAGACTGCTCTGCTATAGATTCACGTTGTCTACAATTATGAACAATAATAGCTTTAAAACTTTTTCTTCCTATTTATGCTCCCGTGGCTCTCAGCATTATTTATCAGTGAATCTCAAAAATATTCACTTGAAATAAATCCAATAACTATTTTGAATATTTTGTACAATTACCTGCAGAAGTTAATGTATAATGATTCAAAAACCCACCATAAGTACACATATGGGCATCTAGCGTGACGATGTCACTTTTTTAATTCCTCGAAGATTTTGCTAATTAACTAATTATAATTTAATGTCAGTTCTTCAAACATAATAGTAAACTTCAATAATCAACTTTTCTTATAGACAGTACTAATTCATGTGTCACCATCTAGTGAAGAGAGAGAGAGATACAGAAAAATCTATTGCAGTTTTATTTAATTAATAAAAAATTTGTAGGTTTAATTAATGATAAACATTCTGGGGATAATAAAGATGCTACAGTTAAAATTTGGTAATTATTGGTTCAGTAGTTTTCACGGTTAGTGGTCACAAACAAAAAATACGTTGTCTCTTTATACAGTATTTTAAAAAAAAAGGAAAATTTAATAATACTTAAAAATTTAAAGGCTAAATCATTAAGAAGTTCAGATCAATACATAAGAATT